AATGTAAGTACCTGAAAAACTTTAAAGGGCATTTCCATTTGTGCAGCTATAGCAAAATGTCTGAAACTGGGTAATTTAGAAATAACAGAAATTTATTTTTTCATAGTTTTTGGAGGCTGCAAAGTCCAAGATCAAGGCATCAGCAGGTTCCTTATCTGGTGAGGGCCCAATCTCTCATTCCAGGATGGCATTTGGCTTCAGCCTCTGAAGCAGATGAACACTGTATTTTCACAGGTGAAAAGCAGAAGGACAAAAGAACGAAAAAGGAATGACAGCTCCCTCGAACCTCTTAACAAGGGAACTCAACCCATTGCTGAGGGATCTGGGCTCATGACTCAGCCACCTCCTAAAGGTCACACCTCTTAACACTGTCACACTGGTGATTAAGTTTCAACATGTGCATTTTGGAGGGAACACAAATGTTCAAACCATAGCAGATATAAATCAGGAAGTCGCTGAAGAAAGTCAAACACTAATTGACAAAAGTGTCTGGAGAAACAAGCCCCTATGGATAGTTAAATATTTCTCATTAACTGAATGTTAATGCAGAATCTTATGTTAATCCTTTTTCTGAAAGCTTAAACAGAAAAAACATGTTGGCCATTTGTCTGTCTTTGCAGGTGCAGGTTACTAAATGTAATTTAATTTTCTTTTGGTGACAAAGTAACTTAATAAGAGGTGAAATTATTTTCTCAGTACTAAAACAATGGTGAGAGGCAGAGCCAGCCTTTGAAACAGACATTCAGGCTCAAGCACTTGGAGGCTGAGCTTCTCTCTTTAGCACCAGGAGCCTTGGTCTGATCAGCAGCTTTTTCTGGACCATAAAATTTGGAGGTATTAAACATTGGCTTGAATATTACTTAATTAAAAGACACTCCTGGAATTTAATTTTTGAAAGTACTATTGGAATTGTAAAAGAATAATTCAACTGGAAGTCAGAGCCTCAAGTTTGAATCCCAGGTCTACCATTTCCTGGCAATTCAACCTTTTTGGTCACATTGCCTTTCCTCTAAAGTGTGTTGTTAGAATCAAATGAGACAATACATAACGGAGTACTCTGCGCCCTGTAAACATTGAGCATTAGCATCATTTCTTTTTCTTATTCTGCTCTTTCTCCTAAAGGGGAGTATAGAAAGAAAAAGAAAAGACCGGGTATGGTGGCTCATGCCTGTAATCCCAACACTTTGCGAGGCTGAGGCAGAAGGATCATTTGAGCTCAGGAGTTGAAGATCAGCCTGGGCAACATAGCGAGACCCCTATCTCTACAAAAAATAAAAATTAGCCAGGCATGGTGGCATGCACCCAGCAACTTGGGAAGCTGAGGTGGGAGAATCTCTTGAGCCTAGAAGGTCAAGGCTGCAGTAAGCCATGATCATGCCACTGCACTCCAGCCTGGGTGACAGAGTGCGACCCTGTCTCAAAATTAAAAAAAAAAGGAAATAAAAATAATAATAAACTTGCAATTCAAATACGCGACTCTGTCTACTCTATTTTATTATATAGTTATATATAAATAGTGTAGACTATAATATGGTTATTCACATATATTTCCCCTGCTATATTTTCTGAGTCATGCTATAGTTTCCCATCACCCCTTGAGGGGATCATTAACCTCTGAGATTCTCATTTGCTAAAGAACAGTGAGTCATTCATAATTTTAAAAAAGAATCAGTGGAAAGCGTAATTGGGTTGACCCAACAATTCTGCTTCTAAAAATACATACCAAGGCAGTCTCTCCCAAAGTGCTATGCGAGGAACATTAATTACATGAGAGATCTATGAGGATCAATATGTCTGAAAAATATCACATATTAGATCCCACCTTATAAAGTCAATGTTAATGGGCATGTATATTAAATGCTCTGAGAAATACTGCAGGAAAGAAGTTTGTTCAATTTGGTTTACCTCCTCGTTTGCGAATTCACTGACCACTTCTGTCCCCCAACAAATGCTTTCTTTTTCTTTTTTTTTTTTTTTTTTTTTTTTGAGACGGAGTTTCGCTCTTGTTACCCAGGCTGGAGTGCAATGGCCCGATCTCAGCTCACCGCAACCTCTGCCTCCTGGGTTCAGGCAATTCTCCTGCCTCAGCCTCCTGAGTAGCTGGGATTACAGGCACGTGCCACCATGCCCAGCTAATTTTTTTTTTTTTTTTTTGTATTTTTAGTAAAGATTGAGTTTCACCATGTTGACCAGGATGGTCTCGATCTCTTGACCTCGTAATCCACCCACCTCGGCCTCCCAAAGTGCTGGGATTACAGGCCTGAGCCACTGCACCCGGCCAACAAATGCTTTCTTACCTAACAGCTGTGTTATATTGTTTAAGAGTATAAGCTCTTCAGTCACATTGCCTGGTTCGAATTCTGCCCAGTTCAACTGTTGAGCCATGTGAATTGCTTCTCGAATCCTCCCCTCTCTCATCCACAAAACGGAAATCATACTAATAACACTTTGAAAACTTGTGAGTATTGGATAAGAAAACAGCATGTAAAACACATACTAAATGTTCAGTAAATTTAGGTAAAGTTGTTAACATTCCTCAAAATTAGTGTTTGTAGACTTAAATTTTGAAAATGCCATCATAAGTAATCAGATTAAAGCACAAAAATGCATATACAAGGAATTGCTGAGGGTCTATAAAATGCTACTGAAACCATGAAATTTATTGTAAGACTTGCAGGTAGCATATGTCTATGGGGGAAAAAAAAGAGACTATTTGCCATCTTGGCAATTTGAGTTTTCATTCAGTTAGGAAGGACCAGGCAGCTGCAGTGGCCGTTGCTGGGATCTGCTGATATCTGTGTAGATGTTTGCAGGCACACAGATGGTCCACGGGACAAAGGAAAAGCTGCTGCTCAAAGACAGATCAAGGAAAGGCAGGGGGAGAAGGGAGTGCTCACTGCCGCTGCTCCTCTTACCATAGTCAATGGAAGGGAACAGCTATATCGCCATTAATTTAGTCCCCTTCCTTAGCTCATAGAGAGAAAAGATGCTATTCTTAGAAGTTACTATTGCCAAAAAAAGAGAAATCATATTCTCTATCTTTAAAAACAAAGTAGAGAATTACGTAGTGAAAGCAAAAACTGATTTTCATGGCCAGGCATGGTGGCTCATACCTGTAATCCCAGCACTTTGGGAGGCCAGGGTGGGCGGGTCACGAGGTCAAGAGATCAAGACCACCCTGGTCAACATGGTGAAACCCCGTCTCTAGTAAAATACAAAAATTAGCTGAGCATGGTGGCACATGCCTGTAGTCCCAACTATTAGGGAGGCTGAGGCAGGAGAATTGCTTGAAGCCAGGAGGTGGAGGTTGCAGTGAGCTGAGATCACAGCACTGCACTCCAGCCTGGTGCCTGGCAAAAGAGCAAAGGGCAAGACTCTCTCAAAAAATAGCAACAACTAATTTTCTTCTAAACTACGGGGTTAGATAAAATCATAAAAGAAGACAATACAGAGTAATACTGCAGGCTTCTTTTAGGTTGATGGGTTAGAAAATTCCTAAGGAGAAATTTAACAACTAATATTGCTGTTGTCCATATATTTGTATGACCATTACTTTTCCATACGGCAAAGTATTTTACATGCTACTGAAGAAATTTAATTACAAAAACATTACTTCAATGTAATTAATAACAATTTCATCACATTTATACAGTGGGGAAATGGAAGATTTTTCTCTATGTTAACGTAGAGTTAGCAAACAAATAGTTGTACTTGACTCTAATAAACTAAAAGACTTTATGTCTTAAAAGACGAAATACTATATTTCTACAATGTACTTCGGCTACATGCTTTTCTATTATTAAGCTGTCTCTTCAGTGTGTTAGTCACACAATTTATACCTGGATGAGGTTGTATGGCTCATCAAGAAATCTTTATGTGACACAGAGTTACATAAGTAGGCTGCCTGGTCTATTATTTCTTTTCTGAGTGTGATGATGAGCATTTGATTCATTTGTTCATGTCTCTCTAAGGATGATTTATCAATGTCAATGACACTTAGAGATCTGAGAGCAATTAATGTTGCTTCAAGTAAATATGGCAGCCCTACTAAAGGTATCCAGGGAAAATATTGCTTCTTATATGGCTTAAGATCACTTCGTGTGTGACTGAAACCCTAATGAGTCAACCTCAAGAGCTTATTGTATTTTTGTGAGCAAACTGGAGAAACTCTCTGGAGTACACAGAAAGAATTCCCTCAGTTCAAATGTTACGTTTGTATAAATCAACTAGCAGAGGCAAGAAAAGTAATGTAAGTGTGAACTCTTGCTGTTTTCCTTTTTTCTTACGTGCAATAGCAATTTGGTGTTTAGTTCTGACATTAAAAGAAATTCAAATTAGAAACTACTGTTTTGTGCAAATTGACATATATAATTTTAACTGTGGCATCTTTCTTAATTCATCAAAATAATCAGATATTATGCCAGCCTCGGATAGTCCTCCCTTGAATCAGATCAATCTCAAAACTTTGCTCTTGCAAAGTAACTGCAGAAATGAAGCCAGCTCCTTCGGCAGGATCTGTTTGGCTGCTCAGCCTCACGGATGTGAGCGAAGGGAAAAACAGGCAGTAAAGAAGCCTCTCCTGGTGGGAGGGGCTCGGGGGTTGATAGGTGCAACCTCACAGTGTCAGAAATTGGAATTTGATTCGATTACAGGTGAAGAGATAGTGCCCTTGTTCCTTTTTTCTTGGAAGTTAGTGTTGCATGCAAACAATCATGGATGTATATTGGTACTTATTCAATTGTCACTGAACAAAATGTGATCTTATTGCAATCTTCTGACCAGTAGGAGATTTTTCACCGTGCACTTTTGCTAGGGCTGAAGAAATATGAAGAATGTCTTTCACTGTCCCCCCAACCCCACGAGAAAACATTTTACTTCTTGATCTTTTTTTTTTTTTGGACAGAAAGTAAATTTATTGGTGAATATTAAGAGGGGGCAGCACAGTGGAAGTGCTCATGAGTGCAGGGCCCACCACTTGCCACGATCAGGGATGTACTTACCCCCACAGCCATCTGGGATGAGCCGCTTCTCACCCACCATAGCTTCAAATTCATCGGCATTGAACTTGATGAAGCCCTACGTCTTTAAGAGGTGGATCTTCTAGCGGCCAGGGAACTTGAACTTGGCCCTGCACAGGGCCTCAGTCACATGCTGCTTGTTCTGCAGCTTGGTGCAGATGGACATGATCACTTGGCCAATGCGGACCCTGGCCACAGTTCCCTGGGCTTTCCAAAGGCATCTCACATGCCTGTTTGGAGCCTACATTGGGGTAGTGCAAGGTCACAGACAGGAACATACATCCGAAAGCCCTGTCTCCAAAGGTCCCTTCAAGCAACCTATATAAGAAACAGACTGTATTACACCACCAAGGAAGCTGCTGTTTGCAGCCCTGGCGCACTGGGCCGCCATGAGGAAAGGAACCCACTTAATTGGCTGCAGAGGGTCTTTTCTTATCTATAATTCTCTTTCCTTTTTTCCTTTTGAGTTTTTTGTTTGTTTGTTTTTTGGCATGTATATTTTCAATTGCTTGCCTTTTAAAAACTCTCAAGGTATTTCTGGGTTGAGGAGAGTTGGCTCCATGCAGAAATCAAAATATATCACTCTTAATTTCCAAAGCAATTGCATTTATCTGTGGCCAAATACCTAGAAGTCAGGTTTCTTTGACACCTAAAAAAATAATAATGGGTAAAAACATTCAAATAGCGTAAAGGGCTCCTGTGGCACTGTGTTCTGTGTTGTCGCGGCATATTAATACAGAACTCTTCAGAGTCTTAATTCACTTCAGCAGCCCCTGTAAAAATTCATGCCAGAGAGTGGGAGAGAAGGTTGGCAGCCAGAGGACTAGAAGCCAAATGGCTCCTCACTGGCAGTGGCATCTGGATAGGAGGTTGGCCTGCCTCCGAGACTCTTGGCCAACAGCACTGTTGTCTATACAGACGGCTGTGTATCTGTTCAAGAGTCCAACAACTGTGTGTGTGTGTATTTTGGTAAGCTATTATTTCTGGGCCAAAGATTTCCATGGCACTTTTGCATCTGTTGGCACCAATTCTATATTTGGCTCCCTTCATTCCCACCCGCTGCTACTTTTTAGTTTCCTGATCAAAAACATTGCACATAAATGGAAATGTATTAAGGGGAGAAAAAATATTTTTAAAGATTTTTATTAAATCCAACAAGGCATATATAGATATGACATTGACATTATTCCAGATGGGATATTTTCCTTTCTACAAACCATGAATAATGTTAAAATTCTAATCACAATACAAAAATGTTCTTGATCCTTTAGATTGAATCTAATTATGGAATTATCAGAAGTTGCTTGAATCAGAAATAGAATGAACCATTACTAAATGCAAAGTCAAGCTACTCTTTCGAGGTTTCCGGGGGAATAATGGTTTTATAAGTTTACAGAATACAGTTAATGCAGTGTGAGGCCAGGAGCTGCCACACATCCGATCAACTGGCTTGTCACAATCCTACGTTACTGTGCAAGGTTGCAACCTCTCAACCTTTTAAGGTTCTTCTACCCCAAAGTTACTTGTTTTGAGGGTATTTCCACGCTAATTCAATTCAATGACACATCTTGGATAGTCTTTTTATATAAAATGCTGGGGGATACGAAATTGAATAAGATGTCTGCCTTAACGAGTTCTTATTTTAATGAAGAAAATTCAGAACAGAGTTGTCAGGTAACAAGAATACCAGAAAAAAAGACATAAAAGTCAATGAGGGGCCGGGCGCGGTGGCTCAAGCCTGTAATCCGAGCACTTTGGGAGGCCGAGGTGGGTGGATCACGAGGTCAACAGATCGAGACCATCTTGGTCAACATGGTGAAACCCTGTCTCTACTAAAATTACAAAAAAATTGGCTGGGCACAGTGGTGCGTGCCTGTAATCCCAGCTGCTCGGGAGGCTGAGGCAGGAGAATTGCCTGAAGCCAGGAGGCAGAGATTGCAGTGAGCCGAGATCGCGCCATTGCACTCCAGCCTGGGTAACAAGAGCAAAACTCCATCTCAAAAAAAAAAAAGTCAATGAGGGCCCAGAGTACAATATGCAGCACAGGCCAGGAGTGTGGCAACAAGAAAATGAACCCCATTTTTATGTGTATCTTACAGAAAAATTTTATTTGGGTTTAGTGTTAAAACCTGGAAGGGTCCCAGCAATCCCATTACTGTGTATATACCCAAAGAATTAGAAATCATTCTATTATAAAAACACATGTACACATATGTTTGTTGTGGCACTGTTCACAACAGCAAAGACTTGGAGCCAACCAAAATGCCCATCAATGATAGACTGGATAAAGAAAATGTGGCACATACACCCCATGGAATACTATGCAGCCATAAAAAAGAATGAGTTCATGTCCTTTGCAGGGACATAGATGAAGCTGCAAACCATCATTCTCAGCAAACTGACACAAGAACAGAAAGCCAAACACCACATGTTCTCACTCATAAGTGGGAGTTGAACAATGAGAACACATGGACACAGGGAGGGGAACATCACATATCAGGGACTGGAGGGTAGGGGGCTAGGGGAGGGATAGTATTAGGAGAAATACCTAGTGTAGATGACGAGGGATGGATACAACAAACCACCACCATGGCACGAGTAGACCTATATAACAAAACTGCGCAATCTGCACGTGTACCCCAGAACTTAAAGTATAACAAATAAATTTTAAAAAAACTGGAAGGGTCCATGGGAATCCTGTCTTCCTGAATCTCTCCTCTACGTTTCATTGATGAGGACACTGATTTGGTCCTGGTCTCACAGTGATAAATACTTCAATGCTACTCCTCTTGATTTTAGAGTTATGACATACTTAAAATAAATTTGCAGGGAAATCTTTTAAAATGCCATGGCATAATTTCATGGAATAATAATAAACAGTAAACCACGACTAGGGAATCACTATGTGATGTAAATTAGAAGTGGAATCGAATTCCTGCAATCACAGACAGTTCTCTCTGGCTAGCATGGCTAGAGCAGGGCTCTTAGAATTATCACTCAAAATTGACCCACAGAAGACCAAGTGACTCACGCCTGTAATCCCAGTACTTTGGGCCGCTGAAGGTCAGGGGTTTGAAGCCGAACATCACCAGCCTGACCAACATGGTGAAACCACAACTCTGCTAAAAACACAAAATTAGCCGGGTGTGGTGGCACATGCCTGTAATCCTAGCTGCTTGGGAGGCTGAGGCAGGAGAATTGTTTGAACCCGGGAGGCAGTAATTGCAGTGAGCCGAGATCGTGCCATTGCACTCCAGCCTGGGCGACAGAGCAAGATAAAATAATCTTCTGCTCTAATTCAGCATATCAGGCACCATGTCTATAGAAACAGAATGTTCCTATTGTATTTCTCATTGATGGGTTAATAAATTAGATTGTTAGGCTTTTGCGTCAACCTTGTGCACGTGATTAATGTGAGTTCATTCCTAAAAGATCTGCTCTTGATCAGGCTGACATTAGGCTTCGCGTGTTTCTGATGAGGTCACAGTTTAACGCCTCCCTTCTCTAAGCATGGTCCTCAGGCCAGCAGCATGAGTATCACAGGTAGCATGCTGGAAATGCAGAATAGACCTCCTAAATCAAGAATTTCTATTCCAGCAAGATCCCATACAATTTGTATGTATGTAATGAATTTCATATCATTTTTATATTGCAAAATATTTTTATCTTTTTTTTTAACCACTTAAAAACCTTTCCTAACTTGCAAAGCCTTACAACAATAGAGGGCAAGCCAGATTATCCCACTGGTAATAGTCTGCCCATGCTTGCTCTGGACCAGAGAAAACTCCATTAGGGTCAAGTCATCCTATGGAGCCAGGCATTCCCTATTGACTCACCCCAATTCCCATGTGCCAAGTGAGACTTTTTCTATTTAAATTTTCAGAGGTGGGCTGGGTGTGATGGCTCACACTTATAATTGCAGCACTTTGGGAAACTGAGGCAGGAGGATTGCTTGAGCTCAGTTTGAGACTCACTTGGGCAACATAGTGATACCTCATCTCTACTAAAATTGAAAAACAGAGGTATTTGTGGCGGTGCAAACCTGTAGTCCCAGCTACTTAAGAGGCTGAGCTGAGAGGATCACCTGAGCCTGGGAGATCGAGTCTGTGGTGAGCCATGATCCTGCCAGTGCGCTCCAGACTGAGCGACAGAGTAAGACCCTACCTCAAAATAAGTAAGTGCTTAGAGATAGATTACCTTTTTTGTTTTTATCCAACTTGATAAAGTATAATTTAATACTTTTAAATAATTAAACATTTAAATTAAGACATTGTAGCACTACAGGAATTCTGGAATATAGATACAGAACTTGATGACTCTCTGGGAACTGTAACGTAATGTGGAATATCAGCGTTCTAGCCAAACAAGCAATTTCAATGCTGTTTCATGTGGTTGCCTGGGTTGTCTGACCACAAGCAGCAATCGGGAAGTGACAGACCAATGAACCCTACTACAACCATTGACTGATTTGCACCGAGGACGAGCAAAGTTTAGGTAACAAAGTGCAGGAAGAAGCAGGCACAGGCCACCCATTACCTGATTCTTAATCCACGTGTATACATCCCACATGGCAGGAATGTTTGGTCTCTTAACTCTTGTCACCATTTGTGCAGCACGATATCCACTTGGGAGCAGGCCACAATCACCAGTCACCCTGCCGCCACCTAGTTCATCTGTCAGCCACAGAAATGTTTTGGCCACCACCACTGGGTTTATTCTTTCCGGTGAGATGAGGCAATTGACCTTGCAATTCTAATTAGTGGTATAAAGTAAGGTGATGATTCTGAATATCATTCTTACTGTTTGAATTATTAGATGGTTTTCTCCTCAACTGGATTAACTAACAACAAAAAAAGTGTTTCAGTCGTGATACTTTAACAACTTTAGATAACTAGAAAGCTCCCATAGGGAATGTATGTAAGTTTTTAGTCATCCATTTCACAGTAGTTCTATCATCTGAATGAATGCTTACTCTTTTTCACAAATTTCTAACTTTATGTACTTATCCCCAGTTCTAAAGTTTGAAGACACGCACATAATCACCTGAAGAACTTTTTTTTTTCTTACTCTGTAGCACAGGCTGGAGTGCAGTGGTGTGATCTTGGCTCACTACAACCTCCCCCTCCTGGGTTCAAGCGATTCTCCTGCCCCAGTCTCTCAAGGTAGCTGGGACTACAGACGTGCCACCGCACCCGGCTAATTTTGTATTTTTAGTAAAGGGGTTTCGCTGTGTTGGACAGGCTGTTCTTGAACTCCTGGCCTGATGTGATCTGCTCGCCTCGACCTCCCAAAGGGCTGAGATTACTAGGTATGAGCCACCGTGTCTGGCCCAGGAACTTTTTAAAGATGCCCATGGGCAAGGGCCTCCACAAAAGGAATAGAATCAGAGTACCTGGTGGTGGGTCCTGGCATCTCTATTTAAAAAAACAACGTTTACCCCACTCAGTCAGTTGCAACCTGTGTGCCTTTGAGAAGTAACTGAATAACTTAGAGCACCACTGTGGGTTATCTACTACCCTGACATATTACTAATCCTAGTTTTTACTCAGGAATAAGTGGGCATAATCTTGCTTCGCTTTTTAATTTTCCTGTTATTTTGGAGTCTGTGGAGAAAAAAAGATAATTAATTGGTGTTAAAGCAATTCATCATATGAAACAATATGAGAATAATCTGACTATTCAAATTTCACACGGTTGTGTTAATAGTGATTAAATTGCGAATCACTGGGCCATGTCTGTGCCAGGCGCTGTGCTAGGTGCTTTACACACGTTATCTTACCTGATCTTCACAGTAACCACATAATGCAGTCGGAAATGCCCTCACTTTACACTGGAAAAATGAGAAGATCAGACAGATTAAGTAACTTATCCAAACTCACAGCTAGTTAAGCAGGACTTTGAATGTAGGTCTTTAGGATTCCAAAATTCCACAGTCTTAATCTCTCACTATATAAATCAAAAATTCAAAAGAACCACAGTTAAGGCAGATAGCTTCTTTGACTATGACCTAAAAAAAAAAAAAAAAAAAAAAAAAGGACAATTGGTTTCCTTTCATTACTTACACTTTGCTTGTCTGTGCCCATAACTTGACTCCTGGTTAATCACCAGGCAGCTCAAACAGGTTAATCACCTCCTGACCAGTCTGTTTGAAACTGGTCAATTCAGTAGAAACAATTGAGCTGGCAGCAGGCAGTTTTGAATTCTGGATTGAGACATGGGGTTGGGGTAACTCACGCTGCCAATATTTCCGGGGAAAATATCCAATGCACAGAACGGGGAAAGAAACAATTAAAACCAAAAAGCAAGCGAACATCGCATATTCTACATGTTTGTGACTGTTTTTTAGCATAAATATTCCTTAATCATTATTGTACATACATGTAAATGTGTATAATGAATATATGTGCATGTGTGGATATGTATACACACACATACACACCCAGATTACTAGCAGGTGAGCATAAATTAAACCAAGTGTGAATCCTGTTGTTTTTTAGTCTTTCTTCCACACCTGGTGAATCTAAACCCCTACAGGTCATCTTGTCAAAATACAATTTCGTTCTGAAATAAAATAACAGAACAGAAACAAACACAATCCATTAAAACTCACTGCCAGTGTTGCCAGATAACTACAAAAAATAGAGTGTCTCAGACGGAAATATCAGTAACTTTAATGCGTGAGGTTTGTTAACAGGGAAGAAAACAAGCAAACTTGCTCTCCGCTGACTGTCACTAATATTTATTCGTCCAGTGACTGTTAATCAAACCAAGTTTACAGTCCCGTACAGCACCTGTCACAGGTGCTGATCATTAATCAGCTATTACAGCAGTTTATTCTGCTGCTGACAACTCGCAATTTTCCACTGATTCAGCTAGTTTGTCAGGTGGGAATTATGGCATAGCGCATGTGACAAAACACATCACCCTTTTTTTTTTTTTTTTGCATTTTCAGGCTTCTCTCTCCTGCTTTCTCCCCCTTTTTAGACAAACAATATCTGGGAACTCAGAAGTAATAAGGCGGAATGCATAATTAATTACCCAGCTTGCTCTAATTAGGGATGAATAAGTTGTGTCCCTCTCATCATCACAAATGTGGTGATGGGTAATACCAGTTTATGCTGTATTAACTGCAAATATGCAATCCTTCTGAGAGCACTTTTGTTGATGAATTTGATGAATGTGACAATAATTAGCAGAGACAGATGAGAGCTAAATTACTACTGACAATGTAATGCTATCCTGCTCGAGGGCCTGGGAACGTGGCAGGATAACATGGCAGGGACCTGGGCCTCGTTTCTAATTAATAGTCTTTTTTTCTTTTTCTTTTTTTTTTCCCTTTTTTTTTTGCCAGTGGGGGGAAAAAGAAGTAACGGTAATTGTTTTCGTCAAAGGCTGCAGGGAGTTATCAGGGTAATAAAGTTAATTAGCAGAACAAACATCGTTTCAGTGCCTTACCAGTCTGAGGAAAAGAGGGTGATTCAGGCTGCAGAAAGATGTGACTAGACGGGATGATAAGAAAAGAAACTTTACACAGGAGGCCAACAGAGAAGAATGATTTTCTCCCTTCATTTATTTGGCTTGATGCATGGAAAGAAATTAGACAGCCTCTTCTTTCAGGTCACAGAGCTGCTCATGTAAAGGACTTTGTTGTTACAATTTTGAGTTTGGGAAATAAAGTTAGCTTAGATAAATTCCAGTTAACTTCTTTCTTTTATAGGTAGTGATAGGTTGTTCCATTTCATCTTTATTCAAGTGGCATTTTCCTAATGTCCCAGGCATAGAAGTAAGTTCTAGTATTTGCCAAAGAGAACATTCAGCTGAACTTTGTCTTACAGAAATCTGGTTTGTTCTTTGAACCGTTTAGAAAAAGTAAGAAATTATTAAGCAATTTCTACCCAGTGGTACTCTTTATTTTCCTGTGTAATTTTAAAAATGAAAAGATTTTTTAAAATGTATATAATCTAATTATATTTTTGTAATCTCAAAAGTCGTCTTCATTAAAATGCGGCAATATTCTTTTTCATTTCGGTTGCAACCTTTCAGATATATGAGTCATCAATCAAAAAGGTGAACAGTTCAGTGAATCTGAGTTTTATGTACAGTTGTATTCGGTTTGGTCACGTTGCTTAACATAAGTAGATACAACATAATGGGGAAACATCAACCAGACATTCTGAAGACTTTACAAGTTTATTTTTTCCTATGAAGATCTTGAGTGGCCGGCCCCCTTCAAACATCAAACATTTGAAATGACTGTTTAGTATTAAGTAAATAACACTAGGGTAAAGGCCCGAAGCTTTCTAAAACAATATCCACAAGGAAGTGCCTAGGGTTTTTATTCCTTTTAGGTACATTTCCAAAAATTTTCATTTTATGCTTCACAAATTATTACATATCTAAGGTCTACATATTTACCATGCATATAAATGTGCACACATTCATTTGTAGTTAGAGCTAAATGAAACAGCCTTTCACAATGACTCCGTGCTTAATTCTAAGTTAACATGAGGAGTTAAGTGGTGAATCTCAGCTTCTGTGTTCCACAGTATGGCACCAGGCAGACTTTTCAACAGAATCCTGTGCGGATAGACTTCCATGAAAAATGGGTGAAATGCTAACGAAATGGCCTTTATTCCTAATATCCACACTACAGAAGTACTGTGTGCTAGTTCCCAAGGACAGCAGTAGTATAAAGGACACAGCACTGAACTGAGAATCAGAAGACCTGAGTTCTCTGCTGTCTGTGCTAGCACGTGTGTATGATTGGCATTGTCCTGGCATGTCCTTGCTCATCTATAGAACTGGTTACCCTGCCCTGCCAACCTCATGGGGTTGCTCTCGAGTGCACACACACACTTAGATTGCTGTGCTTTGACTTGTATCCTTAGCAACATTTTCAAGTTTTTGCCATAGACCCAAACTTTACCTTTAAGTAGGAAAATTCTAGAAGTAAAAGAAGCATTCCGAATAGGCTAACAAACGTGTAAACATAATTTTGCTACTCCAGGAGCTGATACAAACATTTTAAAAACAAGTTCACTCACCAAAAGGGAGACAAACTATGAAAGAAGTAACACAAAAAATACAAACGCGAAATTGCTTTTTTCTAGAAATGGTCTAACATGTTTAGCGTGAAAGAAGGAATAGCAGGGAACAGACTTGTTTGCTTCCTTTGGGACCGAGGACAAATGTGTTGAATATTCTGGCCCTTTCCCTTTTAGCCACTACTTTCTTCATTGGACTGCAAGGTATTTCTGTTTGGAAGAGGAATGGAGTCCAGTCAACTTCATTGATCTCCAAGGACTATCAAAATTATAAAACTTGCTGTGGAGCTCTGACATGCCAGAAGCCACTAGAAAAAGAAGTTTGACATTCAGAAACTTATCACAAGGTTCTACGCTTTGGATAGAGACCAAAATAATACTTTGAAGTAGTGATTTCCAGTATTAGCCCATTGGGTGAGCTAAAAATGCCTTCGTGAATAAATCTGTTATAATTAGGGATTCACCAATCAGATGCCTTGGGCACTGGCTACATGTTCTGTTGGTATTATTATGAATCTTTAGGAATTTAATTCTTTCTTTGCCTTTTTTACTCTGAATTCCTAAGTCATTGTTTTAAAGAGCATTTTGACTAATTCCCGGATTCTAAGGGCTCTGGGGCATTTTTGCTTCTTACAGAACTTCACAGGAGTGTTAGGTGGCTAACTAAGTACAAGGGACTAAAAACAAACCATGGTTTATTATTTTCCAGTTTTGAATTACAGAATTATTTCAATGTTGTCTGTAATCGAAGTGCTACATTACTAAGTAATGAAATGACAATACTGCTTAATGACATTAGGAAACTGCGTGCAAAAAAATATTTGTACACAAGGTGGTGATGTTAGCATCCAACTTCAGTACTGTTATTCTGCTGAAAGCCGCAGTAAATAACAACAGATTCCTTTCCCCAAGTGATCCCCAAAGGGCTCGTTTAGTTGTTCATATAATGATAGCATGTAAGAGCACAGAGCCACAGGGAAAACCTGTCAGCATGTGTCATTAGAGCGGCAGAGAAAAGAGAGAAAAAGGACAAATCACGAAATAGAGAGTAACTGCTGAAGAGTAAAATTATGTTTACAAGTAGTAAAGATACAAGAATTCAGCCTTTAAGACACAGTTTTCTATTGACTCCTATTTAGATATGGACATCCGAAGAATTACATTCTAAGTGTAAAAATGTTTCTGTAGCTCTTAATAAAATATTCCTGCTTTCCAGACAGCTTTCCTTCTGAAAACTTTCGCCTCCCAGGTTTCCCCCTGCCTTTACAGAGAGGTTTCCTGATCCCAGTCATAACCACAACCTTGGTCCACTGAGGACGAGATCTTTCCCTTTATTCATGTTCCTTCCGCACAACTTCAAGCTTTAATGTTTCTATTAGTATAATTCAGAGCAATGAAAATTTGAAGCTGTGAGAATAAGTCACAAACCTTATTTCTCTTGAAATATTTGACCTTATCAGTTCTAAAATAGAAATTAATACATGCCAACATTAAAGCCAGCTCATGTTTCTTTGAAGTGGTACATTAATAATGACCTCTCAGACATAAGTAATTAATTTTATTATATTTGTTCCCCAAATTCATGTATTTGTTATAGTGAAATGTATTTATTCTCAGATACATTTTTAAAGTAAATGATGCCATCAGCAGGAACACAGAACTTGCTGGCTACCAGGTAGGAAGCATATGTGCCATGAACCGAAAAGTTAGGAAGGTGTATTTTCAATTTTAAGATTCTTCTCCTAAGACAAAAAGAGCTGCAACTGTTTTTGCAAGCTCTAGAAGGCAAAATATCTTTTGTTGAATTATCTAAGGATGAGTCAGAAACTTAAAGCCAAGGAAAAGTAATAAATAATGACAACAGATGTTTGTAAACCTGTGCGCCCCTGTGCAGTGTTTCTACGTGTTGTTTTGCCTTGATGTGCTGTCAGCAGCCTCTCACCTGGGAGTAGTGATATCTTATCAAAGCCCAAACAGTTCCTCTTCACAACAGACAGATAATAGTCCCTTTCAATTTATCATACTGGAAGTCTAAAAGAACCATGGGAACGATTGGTCAGGTGACAGCTTGATGGACAGTTTGACAGCCCTTAAAGCATCATGGGAAATGGTTGTCACCTGATTTTCAGAGCGACCGGAGAGATAACCTTCAGAATGATGAGGGAAACAAAAATCTGAATCTATGTGTATAAGATCCAGTGGCAGCACCAGTGTGCACTTAAGTGATAATAGGTATGAATTCAGATGACTCAAAATGTTGTTATCAAACCTGAGGGCTTTTCCAAGTCCAGAAGTGCCCATCATCTCTTTAGATGCCTTTTACGTTTTTATTCAAATGTCGTTTCAAAAATGTGTACCTATTATAGGGCTTTCATTTTAAAGAGACACAGTCAAATGTACTAAATATTTAACCACATGTTAAATATATTAGCTGACCATGAATATTCTCCAGATATCAAGTCTGCTTTCCTTTTGACAAACTCCTTGGTACCACAACCTAAATATAGTTTGCGTACTGCAGTTCTAATTCAAGAGGCTATCATAAAAATCATATAGATCAAATATTACAGTCAGGACTAACTCAGACTCGTGAAGATCAGTGTATGTTAGTGCAAAAAACAAAATAAAAGAAATCAATTTGAAGATCTCAGGCACAAAAACCTTTGAATCCACATTAATTCATTCACACAGCCACCAAGCACAAACTGAGCACTTACTACACACACGGCTCTCTGTCGGACATAAAAGATGAGAAAAATAAAAGCCCAGTTTTTAACAGCTCACAGTTTGAGAGTGAGGACAGAGTTTCAAACGACAGTACATGGCAAAATAAACCATTGGTGAGGCTTACACACACTTGCCAACAACATTGTCCCTTCCCTATTTTCTCTTGTATGTTGTATACGCAGTTCACAATGGTTTTACGGTGTGACCTAAAGACATACTGCCTGGAAATTGGGATTCCAGCAGAAAAAAAAAAAGGATTCAGTGTTTATACATTTGTTGAGTGACCTGCAACTTTGAAGAATGGTTTCAGAAATGGTAAGGAAATGAAGAAACTTGAGATGAAATTCCCACGATTGAGTAGGACCCCAGATCTCACAAACTCTCTGTTCCTTAGATATTTGAGCTACCTTTTTTTTCAGGGCAGACACTCAGAAACTTATTTTTAAAAGTATGTCTACTATACAGAGAATCTAGAGTAATAAAATTCCTTTATACTCTTATTTCAAAATTGACTAATCATTAACATTTTGCCATATTTTTAAATCATTCCTATTCTCTCTCTCTTTCCTACCTTCCTTCATATGCTCCATTTAGCGATCTATATATTTTCTAGTAATGTTAACAGGAAAACCTGAGAATAGATTTGTGTCTGATTCATCTTTATACTCCTTCACAAAGCCCGGCAACTGTCTTGTATATATGTAATAAATATTTACAAATGAATGAATAATGAATAATATTCAACCTAGATCTAATCTTTGATCTTCTAGATTTGCGTTTATACATAAATATAAGATATACTTATTTTTCTAAGCATATGTAATATTTTATAAAATACTAATCTACCCTCCAGAACTATGTCTGATGAATGGGTCTAATAAACAAATAATATATATTTTTTTTAATACAGCAGAAATGTCAAGTGTCTTTCCAAAGAAAGTAAAAGATAAAAGCGTTTTATCTTTTCCTGCTGGCTGGCTGTTTGTCCTGCTCTGGGACAATTGTAGATGCTAGATGCTAGACCAAAAAAAAAAAAAAGCAGGTATTTAAAACAGAAACTGTCTTTCTGAAAAACACTCTGGCATCATTGTTGACATTGGTACCATTTGGCTGCTTGACACTTTTGAGATAACACTCTGCTTTCACAAACTTTGATGCTTTGGACTCACTTTCCAGCATGATTTCTCAAATCTAGTTGTGCTAAAGCCAGAAAACCCAGACAAATTGTGAGAGCACCCTTATGTTTTCCAGGGAACTGAAAAAGAGCCAGTAAATAATTTAAATAACTATTACCAACAAAATGTTCTACATGTAATTCTTCACAAGGAGACACATTATTTGGAAAAATACGAATCTAGAGTTTGCAAATGAAAAGCAAAATGCTTTTGAGTACCATATGCAAATTTAAAGACTTGGAGAGTGATAAAAACACATTGTGCTTATTTGGAATTGGGAGGGCAAGATGTGGGAGGGAGATGTGTCATAATTGATACATGGACCAGGTCCAATATGCTACAGAACAACTGAATTCAGAATCATCTCTGAATCAGAGCTGTGGTTTAAAATGCTTTTCCTTTCCTTGTTGAAATAAACCCAGGGAACATCAAGTTATAACAAGTCCCAGACGTAGTCCCTAGTTCACCTGATACGAATTAAGTTTCATTGTTAACAACTAATGTCCTCATTTAAGCCAACTAAATAAGCTAAATATAAAGCCAGTACCAAGTCTCATAACATGTTTCATAGTAATGCCAAAATCTGTGGTTTGGAAACTTAGAACAAATACTAAATGTTAAATTTTCAGCCAGACACACATTTTCTCAGAAGAAAAAAAAATTAGACAAAAATTTCCATAAAAAGAAAAAGATTTATTAGTTGTCACAAAACCATACAACTTAAAAAATATATATGTACTTCTCTATTATAAGTTTCAAAATAGAAGGTCAGCTTGACTGTTAAGCAGCTGAAGGGCATAAAAGTCTATTATTGGCTAATGTAAATTTTATGAACTGTGGACTTTTTAAGGACTGTATATAATTAGAGTGTATAAAATTGGGGATCTTTTGACTCAAAGCAAGTAAGTTCCACCGTTTAGATTTTTCCACTAAGGTATAACAGAGTCTCCATGTGAGACACAAAGGAAATTTTGTGTCTTGTGTCTCAGATTAGGGTTTTATTTATATTAACTCTCTCCTGTCAAGGCGTATACACTATGCTTCAAATGTGGGAAATTCTGGATTCATTTCCCTTATTTTTCTGATTACATCTTTCCACATTTGGTAAGTCTGGATATTTATATATATAGATAGATATAGATAGATACCTATATATAAAATAAAGTATTTATTTTATTTTTATTAAAATAACATTATTTATATAAAATAAGGTACCTACAAAAAGCTTTTTGTTAAGTATCTTATTTTATATAAACTTTTTTGTCATTTAATTATGTGAATGATTAAACAATGTGCAGCGTACACAATTAGAAAATGGTTTAAGATTTCGAAATCCTCCGAACTTTTCCTGTTTATTCCGTACCTCTGTGGTAAGCTGGAGGCTTGTCAGAGTAGTGAATAAATGAGTATGCTGGGTTTTTTTTAAAGGTATTTAGAAATTCACCTAATTTCCTTAATGCCGGAAAGTAACCATTAAGAACCATTAAGAATTGTACCTGAGGCTTAGTACCTGGGCGACGAAATAATCTGTGCAAGAAACCCCTGTGACACGATTTCACCTGTATAACAAATCTTTCATGGACCCATAAACCTAAAATAAAAGTTGTTTTTAAAAAGAATCATAACTAAGATTACCCTGTTGTCACAGCTTTTATGACTTCTTTACAGCTAAAAATGTTTAATTTGTATTTCATTTTTGCCATAAAAATGTAAAAATTGGGGAAAATAGGGGACTATGCATGATATCTCACAAATGCTATTTCAGACATTGGCTATTACATTATTTAAGCTACATATTTGAATTTATAAGTCCATGTTTCGATTGCAGAAAGGGGATTCTAGCTTTTTATCCAATTACTTCTCAGAGTTCTGATTTATAATTATTCAGAGATTTATGATAAAATTTCTGAACTTCATATATGCTGAATTATCATAGGATTATCAAAAATAGCCCTACGTGGTTCAACTTCCCCTTGAACTAATTCATTCTCAAAAATTATCCTTTTGAAGGATGTAAAAGGCAAAAAAAAAATGAAGTTAAGTTTCAGGCAATTCTTAGAATCCAAGTAGTGTTAGTACCTACATGAGCACATTTCCTTCTAGGCTGTTTAACTATAATGAAAACTCAAAGTGGAAAGTGAAATTATGCCCGACCAAGTGATTATTTTGTGTACATTATATCAAATAAACAGTTTGACTTCTTCCACTGAGTATGCTTAACTGGCAGTTGTTTTGGAATTTTACAGGCACAGACATAGTGTTTTTACAATCAAGCTGTGCTTCCCATTATCTGTTCTAAACGGCGCTTTAAACTCTTTCTTTTCTTTCTGGCTTTACAGTTAACAGAGAACAAATGGACGTCATTACATGCCACCCTTGTGATGTTCCTTACCTTCCATGTTGGAAATTTTCTCTCACCTCCTCTTTTCTCAGCCAAAAAAGATTTAATCCTTCTTTAATTCTTCCTCTTCGCCATCTTAGGAGAGTTAAAGTTCTCTGAGACTCAGTTTCCTCATTTGTAAATTCGAAATAACTATACATACTTGGAATTGTTATGAAGACTGACTATGACAATACATAACTGCACAGCACATTCTGTGGCACAGTCTGCTCTCAATAAGAGCCCATTCCCTCCTTTGATTAACGTTGAATTCTTATTGATCGACTTGTATCAAAAGACAAATTATTCAATGTCTTAAACAAATGTCTTTTCTTCAATTATACTGAAGCCAAGGTGTCAGCAGGTACTAATATTTCTTCTGAACTATTCATTAAAAAGGACTGAACACAAACATAATTTAAGTCTGAACATTGCCAATGCTCAGAAAGCAGAATCCTCCCCAAAGACAAAAAAGAAGATAGACTTTTTGTCCATCTTATTAAAAAAGACCAGTAAAAATCTTCACTTAAGTAGTTTCACCTACAATTCCATGAAACAGTAATAGAAGAATATTTGGATTATGTTGTCTGAGACATTTATACGGATATCCGAAAACTTCAAAAGATATTCAAGGTATTATTAACATTTTGCTACTATGACGTCAAGGAGGAAGCTGTCACAGAACGGTAACAGCACAACAAACACTCGGTGCCGAGTCTTGTGCTCAAAAACTTGACATGGATTATGTTATTTCATCCTCACAACCCTACTGAGGTTGATATTATGATTATTGTTATTTTATTATCATTTTACAGATGGGAAACGTAGTCATGGTTAGGGCAAGCAGCGCGGTCAAGCATGGCCAGTGAGTGTTGGGCTGAAAATTGAAATGATCTACACGAAACCCACTACGCTCATTTGGACATAAGCTTAAAAAATAACAGTTCTTTTTTTTTTTTTTCTTAAAGAAAAAGGAGAAGAAAAATAATGATATGTAAAATTTTGGTTAAAGAAGAGGAATAAGTTAAAAAGATCCATTTTACAACATGTTGACTATAGTGAATACTGTTTCATATACCTGAAAACGGCTACGAGGGTAGGTTTTCGGTGTTCACCGCACAAAGCAGCGCTAAGTATGTGAGGTGATGCGTATGTGAGTCCGCTCGATTCAGCCATCCCAAATGTGTACATGCATCAGAACATCATGTTGGACACCATACAATTTTGTCAATTAAAAAATCAATTTAAAAATTTAATTCTAAGTATTTAAAGCATTTATTTAAACTAGCGGTTCTCAATTTTCTGGCCTTAGAACCCTTAGACACATTCTTTAAAATTACTGAAGACCTCAAAGAGCTTTTGTCTGTAGGGGCTATATTTAGTAATATCATATTAAAAATTAAAATAGAGAAACTTTTAAAACAGTTAACGATTTATTTTTAAATGACAATTTAAAAACCCATTTCATGTTAACATAACTAATATATATTTTTAAACAAATTATTTCTTGAGAAAACTAGCATTATTTTACATTTTTTTCAAATCCCTATAATATGTGGCTTGACAAAGGATAGTTAAATGTTTGTATCTGCTTTGCAATTCTGTCGTGATACGTTATTTTGAAGTCTATTTTTTAAAAACTGACCTCACAGTGGAAAAAAGAGGAACATTTTAATAGCTATTTCAGATAATTATGTCTATTATTTATTGATACACCACCAAAACCTTACAAACATGTTTTTTAAAGATGCTTCAATGTAAAGTTCAAAACAATATCAGCTAAATTTGTTGTTTTTTTTTTTAATTTATTTTTTAGAGACAGGGTCTCGCTCTATTACCCAGGCTTGAGTGCATTGGTACAGTCATGGCTCATTGCAGCCTGGAGCTCTGGAGCTCAAGCCATTCTCCTGCCTCAACCTCCTGAGTAGCTGGGACCACAGGCACAGGCAACCACAACTGGCTAAGTTTAAAACAAAATTGGCTGGGTGCAGTGGCTCACACCTGTAATCCCAGCACTTTGGGAGGCCCAGGCGGGCAGATTACAAGGTCAAGAGATCGAGACCATCCTCGCCCACATGGTGAAATCCCATCTCTAATCAAAATACAAAAAAAAAATTAGCTGGGTGTGGTGGCATGTGCCTGTAATCCCAGCTACTCGGGAGGCTGAGACAGGAGAATCACTTGAACCCGGGGGTGGAGGTTTCAGTGAACTGAGATTGTGCCACTGCACTCCAGTGTGAGACTCCGTCTCGAGAAAAAAAATTATAGAGACAGGGTCTTGCTATGTTGCCCAGGTTGGCCTTGAACTCCTAGGCTCAAAGTATCCTCCTGGCTCAGTCTCCCAAAGTGCTAGGATTATAGGTATGAGCCGCTGTGCTTGGCTTGAAATTCTTATACAATGTACATTAAACCCCATTAGTTTATTTGACACTTAGAGTGGATCTTTTACATACCAATGATTTTGAAGTATTACATGTTAGACGCATTTGGAAAATAGCTGTTCTCTTCAAATCTTCCACGTTAATACATTTTATTATGCAATATTTAACAATTAAACCACATTGGTTAATACCATCGCTAGTTTTATCACGAAGTCTGCTCGTGACTCGAAAATTGCACCCGTGCTTTCCTTGAGATACCCATCTGACTTTAATATACACAAGTGCTTTATTCGGATTTCCCGTTTTGGCAAACAGAATGTTACAGACATGCCCTCAAGAGTCAAGATTTAATAAAATTAATGACTTCTACTGTTTTATCAAGAGCAATTCCTAAAATGAAACTGGCTCTTTACTGATTTTTTTTTGAAGAATACACTCACTAGTAATAAAACTTAGTGCCGGTACCTTAAGTTCACAGACAGTTTTACCCAGCATTGCTGCGCACCAGCAGTGCAAAACGCCAACACAGTAAAAAAGCAAGTAACATTTTAATATCGTTGTGAAGGTAACTTTGACTGTGTAGACCCCCTGAAAGGGTGTCAAGGATCTGTAGTGCACACTTTCAGAACCAGAGTTAAGGCTGTACTCTTCTTCTGCCACTCAGATATTCCATAGCTCATTCTAAAAGATGAATTAAAATGCAATAGAAAAGTTGCATGGGGGGAATAGGGGAGGGACAGTGGAAGCGGGGGGAGCTGGGGAGAGATAGCATGGGGAGAAATGCCAGATGTGGGTGAAGGGGAGGAAGGCAGCAAATCACACTGCCTGTGTGTACCTATGCAATTATCTTGCATGTTCTGCACATGTACCCCAAAACCTAAAATGCAATTAAAAAAAAAACTATTCCTTAAAGTAAAATAAATAAAACAAAATTTTTTAAAAGGAAAAAGAAACTGTTCATTTGATTATTGATTCTCCTTGTTGTACTATGAAAGTTAAGCAAAACTTGGCCTTTTTTTATCTGCTGTATAACCCGGAATTCACTTGTTTTTAATTGCTTGTTTGAATTATTGTGGACGCATATCTATACATACTACTGATTACACTGTTTTGAAAGGTTTTTTTTTTTTTTGAGCAACATATTAGGAGGAAGATAGAATAAACAGTAAGATTTTCAGTCTGCAAATTAGTCACTATATATAAACCACACAGCAGGAAAAGTCATTCAGGTCCATAGGGTATCTTTCACTAATCAACCTCTATATTAATTTACTAATTTCTCTCCCAAAGTGAGAAATCTATTCAGATGCATTATTTGTATTTCCTATTTTGAATAGATTATGAATATATTATGGTGCAATTAAAGGTACACAGAGGGTGCATATTAGATTTTCTCCATAACTAATTCAAGAGTGAAATAATATATGTTGTTTTGAAGTCAATTGTAATGGATAAATGATAGAAGCTGACCCTAATTGAACCTGAGGTGAATTCCTTTAGACTGGGCCATTGTAAACTACTGAATTCTGAAAGATCTCTTTAAAATAAAATTTAAAATTTATCCCAACTAATCCACTATGAATAAAAGTTCAACACTTAATCCTATGATTTTCTAGATCTATGTTGTTTAACAAATTAACATGTTTGTTTTACTCTGTTACTGAAATCAGTTCCTAAATGAATGTTCTTCAACATGAAGGGTTAGTGCTTAAACATAAGAAACCTTGTGATCCCGGAACCGTATACTGTAGTTATTTTAGATTTTTAATATGTCACTGATTTCTTTTCTTTTCTTTCTTTTTTCTTTTTTTGAGACGGAGTCTCACGCTGTCTCCCAGACTGGAGTGCAGTGGCGCCATCTCAGCTTGCTGCAACCTTCGCCTACTAAGTTCAAGCAACTCTCCTGCCTCAGCCTTCCGAGTAGCTGGGACTGCAGGTGGGCGCCACCATGCCCAGCTAATTTTTGCATTTCTAGTAGGGACAGGGTTTCATCATGTTGGCCAGGATGGTCTTGATCTCTTGACCTCGTGATTTGTCCACCTCGGCCTCCCAAAGTGCTAGGATTACAGGCTAAGCCACGGCGCCCGGCCTATATGTCGCTGATTTCTTTATTTTCTTCCTTTTTTGGTTGGAATCTTATAGCAATAGACACTTGATGGCTTTTACCAAATTTCCTTCATATTACTTAAATAACTTTATTTTGGTTAAAAATAAAACTAAAATATTCATTACAGGAGTGGTATGGGTAGGGATCGAGTGAAGGTGGTGTATTTGCCTTGACCTTTCAGAAATCGCCTGTTATTTCTATACAAAGGTCATGCTAACCAGGGACCGCACGTTTCAGTCTTTCCTGGTACAGCAGTGCCCCTCAGCCTCCTTCATCTTTTCCTTTAAATGCTACTCATTCTTCAAGAATCTCCTCAATAAGACCTAGTGATGTAGGCGCCGTGCTTAGCTTCTTGTTTATCTGCAGTCTAGAGGCATTTCTTGTGTTCCTTCAGCATCTCCTCTAGCTCATTACCATGGAGCTCAGTGCTTAATAGGCGCCCCCCAAAAAACTGTCATGAGCAGATATAAACTATTAGAAACAAATGAAAGTTAGTTAGAAGGATGCTTTTCACAAATGACTTGCTACGTATCATGATTTTGGAAAATCAACACAAAATTAGAGATGGAAACAATTAAAAACTCAGAAAAACAACTTCCCTAAGGAAATTATAAATTGTTTCACCCTCTAAGCACTGAATAATGTTAAGTAAGGTTTTTTTTAAAAAAAAAAAAAAAAAGAAGAAGAAAAAAGTAAAATGTTAGCTGTAAGATTGCTATAATTTGATTATGGACCAAGCAATATTCACAGTAAAGAAGAAAAGAAGCAATGTCTGCTTTGCTTTCTTAAAAGGCCATGTATTTAGAGGCGTAACACAGGTCTTAGACGTTTGGAAAATAAAGCAAAATTGAAACTCAGCTCAGTCCAATTTTTTGTGCTTGTGATATACAAAAATGTTTGTACTCACCTCTGTAACAAGCATTTAAAGTATCTATTTCTGCTGAAATATGGGCCTCAGTAAGGCTGCCATTACTGCTTTCTTAACTGTATCATTAGCTTTTAACAGAAATAAGAAATACAAATATTAGAAGACACCACTTCCATTTTTATAAATGTTATAATTAGAAAACTTAGATCAGAAAAATGAAAATTTAATATACATTAAGTAGAGAAAATCAATAGCATACCT